GCTACCTTTTTTGTTAAGCACAATAGATCACTGCTGTCTGAAAGCAGTGTTTCTTCCAATCCATTTCCTACAAATTGGTAAATTCCCGTCTGTGTCCTTGTGATGATTTGAAACCTTTTGGCCTACTGCATTAATTTCTACCACTAAAAATGTACTAACTATAAGCTTGGTGCAGTGGATTGTATTAGAAGTCAGGGGAGTGGGGGGTTCTAGTTCTGCCCTAGGCACAAAGCCAACTGGGTGACTTCGGGCCAGTCACGATGTCTCTCTCAGTCTAGGAAGAAGATACTGACAAGCTGCTTCTGACAATGTTGCCAAGAAAACTGCTGGGGACTTGTTCCTACAGTATCAGGAGTCAGGGTGACTTGATGGATTATGGCAGCAATTGTTTCAGTGGAAGTTGTATTCATCTCGTTTTGCACATTTGCTCTTTTCAAACCATTCGTTTGCCTTCATCTCATTCACATTTTACACGTTTGCTTTTTCCACACATTTTACACATTTTGCTGGTGGCCATTCTTCCCTTTGCATGGAAACTAATCTTCGTCAGATGAGGAGAACAAATCCGTTAATGCACCCAGTCATTCACCATTTGCCAAACAGCTGGACCCAGAACGCTAGAGATGTCAAGTGCTATTGCTTGAGGCAAGTGCTTTTCTACTAGTGGTAGTACAATCTGAAACACAAAAAGACTTTGCAACAGAGGGCTCAAGCTTTATACCTTAACTAGTTTTATGGGGGGTTTTTTGTTGGCAAGTTTTCAGCTTGATTCTATGTCTGAGTGCACTTTTATTCTTCAGTGACTGCTGAGAAAAGAGGGAGAAATATTGAATTATGGCCTCTCTTTAATAAAACAATTTAGGTGACTTTCGCAGGGTTTGGAGAGAATGTTCCATTTCTCTCTAATACACCCTGCTTAAACTTAATCCTAGAGATTTTAATTAAAGAGACTTTTCTAACAATTGTTTGTTTGTCGTAATTCAATGCAATTGTCGTAATTCAAGCAGAAACCATGTTTCTGATAAGATTTTCCTCTTGCCTGTTGTTTAAAAGCAGTAACTTGTACTTCAGAGTTAGTTCAACTCATCTAGAAGACACCAGGATGCTAAGTCTTCTGTGTAACATGTGGACAATTCAGTTATCCAGCATTAACAACTTGAGAATTTGGGAAGAAACAAAACAACCCTGGTAATGTAAGATAAATTTATCAGTGCTACGGTTTAAGTCATTGTTTCCCAACCTTGGCAACTTTAAGGTCAGTGGACTTCAACTCCCAGAATTCCCCAGCCAGCCATGGCTGGCTGGGGAATTCTGGGAGTTGAGGTCCAGCCGCCTTAAAGTTGCCAAGGTTGGGAAACACTGGTTTAAGTCATTGTTCCTTTGAATTAGACATCTAGAATATATTTTCTTCTGAGCACTACATGTTAGAAAAGCTCTTGGCAAACTGAGGTCTAGGACAATTTGCTGAAGCCAACTCATCGCAGCCAACTTGCCGCGGGACAATTCGTCACAGCCGACTCGCCATGGGCTAAGACAGCAGTTCTCAACCTATGGGTCGCGACCCCATTTGGGGTCTATCGACCATTTCATGGGGGTCGCCAAGCAAGGCTGTCCGCCATTTTTTCCCCCTTTTCCGGCGGGTGCCTTACCTCCCTTGAGCTGGGCCAGCTGGTGGTTGGCCTGCTCCCTCTCTGCCGCTTGCCAGCTACCCCTCGGCCGGCGCAGGGGGCGGAACCACACATGCGTGGCGCTCCCGGGCAGGGAAAGTCCTCGACTTACGATCGGTTGGGTAGTCCTCGACTTACGACTGGTTTAGTCCTCGACTTACGACCAGTTGGGGGTCGGGCATTAAAAAGGTTGAGAACCACTGGGCTAAGAGTTGCACATACCGAAGAGATGGTGGAATAGAATCATTAAAGAAAGGATGCAAAGGGAGAGAGTAGATGAAATATGAATGACAAAAATTAAAATATTTTTTAAAAATTATTTTAAATAATTGAATTGTCCCACAGCGAGTTGCCAGTGGTGAGTTGGCCGCAGCAAGTAGTTCCATTCCAGGCAAACTGATGCATATCCAGAGGAGAACGTCTATGATACTAAAGAGCCTGGAAGGAAAGGATTATGAGAAATGGTTGGAAGTGTGGGAAAATTGCACAGACATGGTAATTCTGTCTCAAAATATCTAAAGGTTTTGTAGAAGATAGGGGCAGAATTTTTCAAAATCTTCCCAGAAGACTGGAGAAGAAATCGGTTATACTTCAGCAACTTCTGGAGAGACGCAGGTTTCTCACTTGTAGACAACCAAACTACTATGCTATCTTGGGAATCGCTTTATGGTTTAGTGGAAAAGCAGAGTGCTATTTTTTTTCCCAAGCCAGGAAAAATATCTGTTCAAATTGTTTTGAGCACCCCGTGGTGGGTTCAAAACTCTCTTTGAAGTTACAGCACGGTAATATAAAGAGATACGGAACCAAAATAAACAAACCAGTTACACTTTTACAGCTTTAATTTAAAATTTTACCAATGACAAGAACCAAAAAAAAAAAAAAAGAATTCAGTTTACAAAAAGAGAAGTTAGTCAATACAAAAGAATGGAGGTTACCTGTTTCACAACAGAATCTGCCCTTGACAGTATCAACTTAAAACGGGGAGTAAAGTGCTTCAGGTAAACAAAGCGATGCTGAAAAGTGGTAAGAGTGAATTACATTTAGGAAAGCAATATGGTGTGATTGTTGCAGACCGTTTTTTGAATGAAAACATTGTTCCTGAAAAACCAGCATATTGAGAAAAATGTAGACAGAGGCTGTCTCCTTAATAGATAGGATTTCCACGTGCACAGATATGCTGATGTGGAGATGCAAAGAACCAAATCCAATTTTGAGGACAGAACTGTCTTCCCTCACCTATCTGAACTACTGCAAAGTGTCCGTCGACCACAACTCGCTATCAAGGCATTCCCACATACAATATAACCTGGTTATCTATGTGCCCTTCCTGATTATCTGAAGTTATTCAGAGATAAACAAACAAACCTAATCTCCATTTTCTTATTTTATGCTAGTAAAGGGTGGAACACATTAGGTATTGATCTCATATGTTCCTGCAAACGGGAGGTAAATTACCAGTTCCCACAATTGGAAGAGATAAATTGCTGTTCTCTTCATCAGAACACCTCTTTTGCAGTGAAAAATGCTGGGAAGATAACCATTATTATTTTTTTTCATTATTTATGTGAGTGCCATGCTCCATAGAGAAAATCACCCATGGTTGCTTAATGACAGAGTAGAAGCATGCCTCCATAGAAATCCAACAGAAATGTCCAAGTGAAGGATCACTCAGTAATATCTAAGCAATACCCTTCTGAAGAACTACCATAATAACTATTTCCAACAACGGGAGAATTTCATCTGGAGATTTATTTATTTTTGTTCTTTCTCCCGAGTCAAGGAATTCATAATCAATTAAAAAAAGCAGCATAACTAGGATAACTGTTCTAATCTCGATTCCTCTTTTTATTTTTAATCTAAAAAGATGACATGTACATTCCTATTGTCTATATAAGGAAGCAATCTCTGGTCTTTTGTGTGTGTGTTCTGAAAACTGCAAAGATGCAGCATAAGAAATGTAGCTCAAAATGCAGCAATGGGTTTGTCTTGGATTTCACCTACGGTGTATTCTAGATCTTGACAGCTGACTTCTTGCTTTACAAATAGGCTAGCTTTGGCCAAAATAATGTTTGCAATATTTTTCTTCAATTAACATGTAAAGCACAGCATTAAGCCGTGAGGGAAAAAAAAAAGAGAACTATACAAGCCCATAACTGCTTTCTAATTTGCATAGCAACACCCAAAAAGTTAATTTAAAACCGTTGCTTGGTTCTTTGGCCGAAGAATCTGAGCAACCAATAGCTGAGGTATGCACACCATCCTGTCCTCTTTGTCATTCTCCTCTTTTGGGTAACAACTCATAGAAACACAAGAGTATCCAATGACATTTAAAAAAACTTGGGTTCCTGTATTTTTTTAAAAAAACAAGCAATTACGAGTAACATAATCTGGGACTTTTGTCAGCTTATTAGATATAAATAAAAACCAAGGCCAGATTGATAATCAAGAAATTGGTGCTAACTGAATCCTTTGTCTACATACTACTGCACTATTGGAAACATCATCAAGGGTCTGTTTTCCTCAGGGACCATAAAGGGATTGCAAACTAAACAGCCAAATCACTCCATCATCACAGTTGATCAAACCAGTCACTGATTTGAAGGAGCGCCAGCAGCGCATTAAGAAATTGTGAGGGGGGGGGAAACAAAGCATTTGTAATTATGAATGCAGCACTTCCCATTTGGGGAAACATCATTTCCTAGCAGAACTGAATGAATGTTCATTTGTATTCCTATTTTAGAACAGTAGGCAGTTCGGTTAATGCAGAGGTGGGAAACCACAGCCCTTTTATGACTTGTGGACTTCAACTCCCAGAATTCCTCAGCCAGCCATGCTGGCTCAGGAATTCTGGGAGTTGAAGTCCACAAGTCATTAAAGGGCCACTGTTCCCCACCCCGAGCTAATGTAATTAGTGGATAAGACTAGGCTTGCTATGATGTTTCTTGAATTTCCATAATGGGTCTTGTTGTCTAATAAACATTAAGTCAAAGAAAGTCAAACTCTAGAGAAGGCCGATCATTTGAAGCAGTTTCCCAATCACTGCAATTACCAGCTGTGTGGATTACAACTACAGAATTCCATGGCCATTGAGGAGAATTCTGGAAGTCCACTCACCTGGAAATCACCACAGTTGGGAAACACCAATTTAAAAGACAGAAGTCTGACTCATCCTTATCACAGTACATCTGGCCACATTCTCCAACATCACCTGTCAACAGCTCCACATTATGACACTGCCTTCTTACATGAAAACTAATCACCATCTTCCATCAGCAATTCCTACACACTGTTTATGTGCTTGTGTTTCATTCAAAAATGAAAAATGCTGGAGGAAGTTAGTATGTTTTATTAAGCTCAGCTATCTGATTCCTGTTGCTTTTAGCATTATACAAAGAGGTATTTCTACATTAATCATTCAAGAGATTTTTCTGCATTCAGTCTGTCCTCACACTCATGTGCAAGAAGAGAAGCATTCCCCAGTCCTTCATGCCAGGATACACACACCAAAGCCACCATTATACATTTGAGGCAACAGAGCACATTTTTTTCCTCATTTCCAATTAAATATGCATAGGATTAAACCCCATCAAAATCAGGATCAATAGGACTTGCTCCAAAGTCAGTGCACATAGAACTGGGCATTTAAAATGCACCACATTTGCTATGCTGGGAGGACAGAGGCTGCAATAAGTTTGCAAATTAAAAAGTAGCATTACTCAGCCAAACCTTTTCTTCCTTTGCTTGGTGGTTCCAGGTAGAATCCATTACCAATCGAATTTGATTTAGCTAAATAGTACTTGTCACTCAAAAGTCCATTTTAAAAAAAAAGTTGCTTCCAAAATAAAGAGAAATGCAACTGTCGATACCTGAAGTGTTTTCTTAGCGTTACTGTGGACTTGAACATTTTAATTAATTCAAACTGGAGGAAGAAAAGTCTCAGACAACTTTTTTGACCCCAAATTGGAGTCAGGAAGGTTTTCGTAGGGCTCTTACATGAAATGAGGCCTAGAAGACCAATTGACAAACATGAATTCCTTTGAGAGAGCAGTTATAGAAAGTACACTGTGTTGGACACCCTTAAAAATGTATGTTTTTTTTTTAATGGCAGCAGTGAATTAAACAAGTTAATGGCTTGGAATAAAATCTATCTTGTCTCTTCAGTTATGTTGTCTTCCACCAGGAACAAACAAGAATTCGTAATGGGTCAGAGCCAACAACACTAGAGCAAACCTGGTCCTTGAATACCCTCCACAGCAAGGAACATTCCCATGTGTTGTCGGAGATGTTCCTCACAGAAAAGAAGAAAAAAAAATAAAGCAGAAAGTTTTTTTTTCTTTCATTGTTCACCCAACCGGAAGCCCTGGCCCCAATTGTGTCTTGTGTCTCCCTGGCGATTATCTGCGGGTCTTCGCATACTGGCAGGAGGAACCCCAAATCCAGATACCCCTCCTCTTCTGTTGGGCAGCCAATTGTACCTGCAGGTTAAGAGAAGGAAGAATTCAAAAGACCACCCTAGCCAGTGGTGGGATTCAGCCGGTTCGCACCACTTCGGCAGAAACGGTAGCTAATTTCTTGTTGCCCAGGCCCAGAATGGACTTCCGGAAGCGGCATCCACACAGAGAACCGGTTGTTCACATACCTGAATCCCACCACTGACCCTAGCACTTATTCCACTGTAACAGCTGAACAAGACTTTAGCAGAGATTGAAGCTGAAGAAGCAAGAAAAGCCAACTTAGGCTGGAGTTTCAATACAAAGCAGCTGGAAAACTTTGCCTTCTTTCTTTTTTTTTCTTATTTTTTTAACCAGTTATCTTATCAAAAATTCTGAGAAATAGCGTAAAAGCTGGCTTCTGTGTGTTACTGAAAATTAAGCCACTGTTAAGAGGCCTTCCAGCTTAACGTGAGAGTCAATATGGAGGCCATTATTGCACAAAGTGCATGCTGGAGCTTCTAAAGCTGGTAAAGATCCCAGAAAGAAGGGGAAGTATTTTGTAAATGGGGTTTACAGGGAGTCTTGCAACCATTCGTTTAGTGACCATTCAAAATTACAACGGCGCTAAAAAGAAAAGAAAAGTGACCTGACCCTTTTTCATACTTGTGACCGTTGCAACATCTCTGTAATCACGTGATCAAAATTCAGATGCTTGGCAACTGGTTCATATTTATGACGGTTACAGTGATAAATGTACAGGTGATCCCTGTACAGGTGATCCCTGGATTACAGGTGATCCCCTTTTGCACCTTCTGACAAAGTCAATGGGGAAGCCAGATTCACTTACCAACTGTGTTACTAACTTAACAACTGCAGGATTCACTTAACAATTATGGCAAGAAAATTTGTAAAATAGGGCAAAACTCAACAACAGTCTCGCTGAGCTATGGGCTCCATTGTGGTCTATTCACCTCCTAATGGACAGTTCCCCCACACCGATTTAAAGTCGGAGGTAAAGTCCTGTCCCTATATAGAAATGGAAACCGAAATATAGGTTGAGAGGGACGATAAGGGACGTCTAGAGACAATTACGTTCAGAACTCAAGAGAGAGTCGAAAGAGAAAAGATGAACAAAAGGTTGTCGATCACTTTTTGTCTAAAATTTCCCAGGACACTTTCCTTAGCTGCTGAACTGGCCACACATCCTGAGAGATGAAGGTTCCTTACGTTCTTAGCTCATTAAACTTATTTTTATTTTTAAAACTATCTCCAATTCTCTTCTCCTTTATTGATTCAAACGGAAATGAGGGGATTTTGCTTTTCTGCTTAGCCTGTGAGAGTGTTCTTATCCAGGAGTCAGATGATCCTTGTGTGCCAAGGCTGAGATTACTAATTACCACAAAGCACATTGGTGTGATGCCATATCTATCTCTGAAATAGATGATTAAGAAAAGCATCTAGTGGCCTAGCCCTATGTCCCAGAGTCAGATGTACCAGCTCCCACTGATCACAAGGACATCAGTTTTGCTACAGACTTATTCCTTGCTTTCTTTAATTTCTGTGACAGAGAAGCCATAGTGCACCCCAAATGCTGCCCTTGGATATTCCAGGTGTCCAACAGCTTCATGGGCAGGAAACCTCAACATCTGAGCTAAGCTTCATCTTTAGGGTCCTTTCTCTTGTGTTAGTAAGAAAGCCAGTTTGGTTTAGTGCAGGGGTAGGCCACCTTGGTTCTTTTATGACTTGTGGACTTCAACTCCCAGAATTCCTGAGCCAGCCATGCTGAGGGGAAAGGGAGAGGTTTCCAAGCTGAGCCATGCTGGCTCAGGAATTCTGGGAGTTGAAGTCCACGAGTCATAAAAGAGCCAAGGTTGCCTACCCCTGGTTTAGTGGCTAAAAGCCAGGAGATGGTGAGTTCTAGTCCTGCCTTAGGCATGAAGGGTGGCTGAATGACTTGGAGCCAAATCACCAGGAGACTGTGAGTTTTAGTCCCACTTTAGGCATTAAGGACAGCTGGTTGACTTTCGGCCGATCACTCGGCCACCCCACCTCACAGGATTGTCGTGGGGGAAAATAGGACAAGGAAATAATACTAGGTACGTTGACTGCCTTATCTAGAAATGATAAAGGTGGGATAAAAAATAAATAAAAAGCAATCATGATAGCTCATCTGGAAGGAGAATGGAAGACAGACCCTCCGCAAGGGTTCTTGTACATGCAGTGCTCCTTCAATTTAAATTAGAAAAGCACCACTTAGTTGTAAACGTAATATAAACAGAGAGCATTTTTAAGCAGAAGTTAAAGAAAGAGGGCAAGGCAGACAAACTCTGGAGCCTGCTGCCATTAGAGCAACATTTCAGGAAAATAAAGGTGGAAGTGAGCCAATTTTGCATTTGGGAGCTTGTAATAGTTTTGACTGAATCAACGTTTCCTATTTGTCTATGCCAGAAACAAAACATGGATGAAATGCAGCACATGACCTAATTACGTATCCATCCATCGGAAAAAAAAATATGCCTGGGTCTCATTACTGCCATTGTGCTTTTGTTTTCAATGTTAATTAGACTAATGTCTCAGCATTCCAAAGTATTCAAGTCTGATTTTTTTTAAAAAAAATAAATAAAAGATAAACCAACTTACAGAAACTGAGGCGTTGACAGAAAATTTCTTCCTCCCAAATCCACTGGGTATTTAAACATTAAGAAAAAGTACAGATGACCAACCAGGTTGCCGATCAGTTCATTGATGATGCTGTAGGATATCAAGAAACAGCATTTTAAACAGTGTTAAAAATTAGCGATTGAAACATTTTCCCCTAATAAAGTGAAAGTATCTTAATCAACGGGGCCAATTTCTAATGGGTTTTGCACGGTTGAAGACCTTGAGGGCTGCCAAGGCTGAAAATAACCCAGACAAGCTATCCAAGGGTTGCATGCTGTCTGCAAACATTTTTGAAAAATACACTTTTGCAAACCTGTGGGGAAGACAGTGCTAATGGACGTAAACACTGAAATTTTTTAAAAAAGCAACTGCCATAAAAATACAACCTAGGAATGATGAAAGTCACAATTTCCATCATCAACTGCATGTATTTGAATTCTACCTTCAGAAGCCTTGAGACAGTACAATTTTATGGAAGACTGTTACAAGTTCAATATATTCTAAGTTTCAATGGTCACTTAAGTATTAATCCTTCTTCCAGCTATGTACACAGAAAGTAGAGTGCCATTGGAAAATTAATAATAAGAATAACTGAAAGTTAAGATTACAGAAGAATGTTTAGTATTGGGCTATAACAGTGGTGGCGAACCTTTGGCACGGGTGCCAGAGGCGGCCCTCAGAGCCCTCTTTGTGGGCACGCGTGCCATGCCCCAGAGATGGCAACCGTCCCTCTTCAACCAGCCGCCCGAGGTCCCACGTGGCCTGATGCATCCCGGCACGGCTGGTTTCCTTCTCCCCTGTCCCATCGCTCCTGGCCTCACATGCTCTCCTTTTCCCGGGTACGACCCACTGCATCGCCTCCTCAGCTGTCGGCCAGCTGTCCACCTCAGAGGTGGCTTCTCTGAACTGCTGGCGATGGGCTGTGGAGCCCCAGAGTACGCCGGTCGAGGAGCCGTCAGGCTGTGGCTGCTGACAGACACCGGCGGTCCCCATGCCTCTGTGTGCCGGGGCCGATGGTGTCAGGCAGCAGCTGCCCTGGCCCCTGCCTCACCTTGCCCCGTGGCAACGGTATCCCCGCCCTGCCTCGCCCCGCAGGATGAGCCTCCTGTCCACCACCCCACCTGCCAGAGACCCCCTGGATATCCCCCAACCCTGCCCACCGGCGTCCCTCCCCACGAGCCACATCGAGGTGACCACGCCCACTTTGTCCACACCCACCCAGTCTGCCATGGCCATCACAGCCATGCCCACCCAGTGGGCAACGTCCCACCTGGCACCCGGCAATAAGTAAGTGGGTTTTGGGTTGCTTTTTGGGCACTCGGTCTCTAAAAGGTTCGCCATCACTGGGCTATAATTTCAGAAGGAAGAAGGATGTTAAGTTGGCTTTCCTTGGGAAACTTCATTGTTGGAAGTTGTTAGCCAAGACTCTCAGTAGAGTTACTCAATTTACAAATACGCAACTTAGTAGCTTCAATATTTCCTACGCAGGGCAACAACTGATGGGCTTCACGCCACCTCCCAGCCGTTGTTTCCAACTTTAGAAGACCTCCAGAATGGAGCTCTCAAGATTAAGTAGCCAGTGCTGGGCAAAATCTGAGTGCAGAGAGCCAATTCAATGGAGGCTTCTTTTGATCAACCTTTGAAGAGTGACTCTCGGATCAAGAGGGAGAGCAGATCTGGAGCAACAGAATCAATTCGATGCTTTCCAATCTAGCTGGAGATTTCAGAATTGATTCTAGGGCTTTTCCATAGTTTACGGGGTCACTACAGACAATGTGCCATGCTGCAACTTAAGTTTCATACAGCTGGGAAAATCCTGAATTGGCTGAACATTGGAATAGGCTCTTTGACTGACAGAAGCACCCAATCCAGTACCTGCCCTTTACTTTTGTAGTCAGCATGACTGGAATGGGTTGAAGACTCTTCACGTTACAATGAGTGATTGTGACGCAAGTTTACATTAACAATGGCTGAAGATTTGCCTTCTTTAAGAATGAAGAGGGCAAGGCTATAAATGCCACTCATTCCAAACCAGATTCTTGGTCCGTAGATATGGGTCTCGCTGGGACAATCTGCCTCTGCTAAGTCACTAACTAAGATATTATCAGGAAGTCCCAGCCTTGATACAACTGAATCTGAACAGCATCAAGGGTGTCCTTCCCAAGAGAGACCCAGCATTTATCACAGCTGGAGCCCAGGAAACCCCAGGCAGTAAAGCACAAGCCTGTGGCACCCCAGAAAACATGTGAAGGGGTACGTGTTTAGTTTACAAAAAATCAGTTTTTAAAGTTTGCATTTTTAAGGACAGTTCAGACAAGTGCCTTCTCGAAGAAAGAGGGGTAAGGGAATATTTCAAGCAGGTGTGGCAGCAAAGCCCTTCAAGTCAAGTGGCTGAAATGGGCCCAGGTGCACATCTGCAAAAGGACCAATCCTCCCTACTGTCTTCGGACCATTTTACCTGAAACTGAAGCAGCGTCAGATATTTTGAAGCTTCCCACCAACAGCCTAAAGACAAACCTTTCACCAAATTGAATCTTGCACCCCAAATCAAATTACTGTCCAATCAAGATGGCAGTTTGGATTCAATCAAGCCCTCTTCAAACTGAATCAACACTGGTTTGCACAGATCTAGCAAACAGTCCATTTTGGCAGCATTATTTAAAAAAAAACAACAACCGTAAAATAGAGGCAGGCAGCCTGCAACAGCCTTAATACAAAGTTAACTGCCTCTAAACAAAAAGAAATGGATGAAATTTTTGACCCTACCTCCTCCAGCACTATTACTACATTAGTACAGCAGTCTCTAACCAAGTGGTTCTCAACCTGTGGGTCGGGACCCCATTTGGGGTTGATCGACCATTTCACGGGGGTCGCCAAGCAAGGCTGTCCGCCATTTTTTTTGTCCGCCATTTTTTTCCCCTTTTCCAGCGGGTGCCTTACCTCCCTTGGGCTGGGCCAGCTGGTGGTCGGCCTGCTCCGTCTCTGCCGCTTGCCAGCTACGCCTCGGCCGGCGCAGGGGGCGGAACCACGCATGCGCGGCGCTCCCGGG